TGATGTAATCAAAGGCGCTCAAGTTCTTACATAGTAGGGCAATGGAAACTCATGCCGTAAACCGAAACGCGTCATAGGGCTACATAAATAAATAACCCGCGAAAACTGAAATGGTGAAAAACAGTGTAACACTTCACCTCCACAATTACGGACTACCGATACATTGTTTGCTCTGCATGTTTTCAACAATTCTCAAAACTACCTATTTAAACAAACAAATAATTGATATTAAATAAAATCAAACATTGAAAAAAATATATATATATATCTTCTTACAATGAATAATATTACACAATGGAAGGATAGGTGGTAGAAAATGGGATGAGTGGATGGGTTATTTGGAGGAAAAAAAAAATTGTAAGAAAAAAAGCCTCCCCTCAATTAAACACCTTACTTCTATAACACGGTGGCCTCTCTTAGAAGATGTGTAACTAAACGCCAAGGGTTATCATCTGAGGAAACGTCATATTTTGGAAATAAAAGTAACTTGTCATCAGGGAGACGCAGGCAAGTAGTTGGGTTAAGGTTTATGTGAGCGGGGGGAGTGGCATGACGAGGGGAGCATCTCCACTGGTTCCATGCCGAGCACTGGACCAACACGGGGAGAACATGAAAATAATTTTAAAAATAAAATGTAAAAAAGGGACGAAGACAAGAGGAAAGAAGAGGTGATAACATCACATCACTGAACAAGAGGCATCAAAAAGTTACAGGATTAGTCGCCAGCTTGCACTCAACACACTTTTGTTTGGGCATTTTGGTTTTGGTTTGTTTTTGTGAAGCTGCATGCACATTCTGAGGGTGACTCATTAATGTTAGTGCACAGCACATGTACTAAGTGGGGTGAAAAAAAAAAAAAAAGTAAAATAAGTATCCTAACCCTGACGCCCTCGTTTTAAAGCTCTTAGTTCGAGTTCCTTCTGATTAAACCAAGTGGGTCCCGCTGTGGAAGTAAATGACAAATCCCGGGATCAAATACAGTTTGATCAACAGCTGGAATAATGCACTCGAAAAACATGACTTACATCAAACAAATATAATGAGTGTCTCGTTTCTCCAAACATCAATAAAGAGAATGCAATGCAAACACAGCACGACTCTTTATTATGAAAATTTGCAATTTTTAAAAAAATTACTTTTCAATTGTTAGTATACAAATCGTAGTGATTTTCAAACGGCCTATCTTAGGTGTAATACCACAATGTGCCACAATGCGGCGGAGTGCACCGAGCTTTGATGTTGTAATTTAACACCAAGAATTGGCAGAAAAAGCCAACAACTAATCTCGAGTTATAAATATCGTTTCCACAGAGCAGAGAATACATAAAGGCCTGTGAAGAATTGTGAAATGCTCTGTTTGTATGTGTTGTTTCGTGGATTAAAGTAGCAGTTTGACAGTTTAAAATGACCATAGCGTCCGTCCATGCTAATTTCTGTTATATATTATATACCGTATGTATTTTATTGTTATGTTATAATCCATTCAACACTAACTGTAACGTGTGCATGTTGAGAAATTACCTCCAGGTCCCCTTTGGTGATGCACGCTTCCTCAACACGGAATTGTAGGTCCTCAACTTTCCTATTAAAAATGAAATAAAAATAAAAAGCACAATAAGCCTGTAATACTGGTAAGAGTTTACTAAATTCCACATGTTGCCTTACCTCCGCTCCTCCTCAAGCTGGTTGAGCAGCTCGACTTTGTCTTTGTCGGCTGCCTCCACCAAGGCACGTAACTGATCCATCTTGGCCTCCATCTTCCAAATGACACAGTACAAAACTGACTTGGACTTCACCGAATCAAACATAGTAAAAAGAACTCTTGAAAAAAAAACACATTTTCAAACACCTCATATATGGTTACATGAACTACATTGCGCCAGTAGTGGTGACACAAGGGACTAAATGGGTTGCATCAATGTCAAATTGTAACCCCCCCCCACACACACACACAATTTTATCCCATCATTCCCACTAAACTTGAGTTGTTCACCAACTTTACCTGCTCCTGGTCGTCCCTGAGCAGCGTGATTTCCTGTTCCATCTCCCCGGCGTGGCTGGTGGCTTTGGCCACCTCGGCCTTCTCCATGTCCCTCTCCACCATGAGCTGCTCGATGTGCTGCTGCTTCTCTTTCAGAGCCTCCTGCAGAGCTGTGGTGCCCGAGATCTTGCGGTTGTACCGTGACGACGTCTCTGTCAGCTGTGGGTGGCAGAGATCAACGAATAAAATACCGTAATGCAGTTATACCACGACTTTTAATCATGTAAATGCTCAGTGGGAAGCATTCAAAAACGGAGCGTGCTCCATGTGGCCCACGGGCCGTACTCTGAAAACCACTGATCAGGGGGTTGCATGACAATTTTTTTTTTTTGCAGTTGTTGTTAATGTAATTTAAGTCAAGCCGCGTCAAAATCATTGATATTTTTTCAGTCCACCACGGATTGGTTTCACATCAACACATAGAAAAAAAAAAGTCACCATTACGCAGTCACTGGTAGTGTAGTGGTACACTCGCCAGCTTTGGGTGCAGGCAGCGTGGGATCGATCCCCACTCAGTGACGTGTGAAAGTACAACACCAAAAACTTAGTTGAGGCGGCCCGCTGGTCCAGTGGTTAGCGTGTCGACCTCACAGTGAACACTAAATTGTCCCGAGGTGTGAGTGTGAATGGTTGTTCGTCTGTGTGCCCTGTGGTTGGCTGGCAACTGGATCAGGGTGTCCACCGCCTACTGCCCGAAGACAGCTGGTATAGGCTCCAGCACCCCGCGACCCTTGTGAGGATAAGCGAACCAGAATATGGATGGATGGAAGTCACCATTACACTGAATGCAGTTATAATTAGTGATAGCCCTGCACCTTTTTGTTTTCTACTACTACCACCAAGTGTCACTACACAAGTGTTGCTTTATGACCCATAAGACATTTTTTGTATCATGATTTGTGTATTGTGGTTGAGTGTATCTCACCAGGCCAGTGCGGCTCGGCTTGGCGCTGACAGATGAGGCCACGGAACTCATGGTGCTGATAGAGGAGGCGCTGGGGCTTCGCTTCAGGCCGCCCGGGGTGGCAGCAGCCTTGCGAGCCGCCCCCCT